GGGGGGGGGGGCTTCCCGGGCGCTATAAGGGAGGGAGGGGGTGTGCGCGGCCGGCGGCGGTGTCGCGGTCGCTGCTCTCCCTCCTGTGCACGGGAGGCCCGGGCCAGCCTCCCGCCGAGGCTCTGCCCTGCTCTGCCGCCCAAGGCTTCTGTCGGCCCGGCGCCCCGCTCCGCTCCGCCCGGCCCCGCGCCCTCCGCGAGTTTGCTCCGGGGACTTGCTGTCTGTTTCCTCCTCTTCCTTCTTTGTTGCTCTGAAAAGCGGCCTCGCCAGAGCCCCCCACTCCGGAGGGAGTTCGAGTCCCGCGGACCCGCCGCCCGCGTTCGTCCTCCGCAGGCAGCCCGCCCGCCGCCCGCCTTCATTGATGCACCCCTTCCAGTGGTGTAACGGTGAGCCCCGGGCGCGCCGACTTTGTCGTGCGGTGGGACGGTCCACAGGGGTCCTGGCGCCCAGCTCTGCTCTGCACAGCGCGGGACTGGAAACCGTCCGGGTTTAACTCGAAGGCCGGGAAACGGCTCCGAACGTGCGGCGGGCCGGGGCCCGGGGGCCGCGGGGTCCCCGGCCTTTGTGTGGCGGGCCGGCCCTGCTGCCCCTTGCCTGCCTTTGTGCGCTCGGAACTCCGCTCTTTGTTGTGGTTTTGGAGAACTGACGCCGCGCTCGGGCTCGATCTCCTAGAGGGAGCCCAAGTGCCGGCCTGAAACTTTGCAGGCTGTTCTCAGCGTGTGCACAGTGCGGCGTGCGGGACGAGGCGCGGGCGGCGGGGCTTCGTGTCTGTGGGAGACGCTGGGCTCAAGGGTGTCGCTTTGCTGAGTTGATAGTCCCGTGCGGATGTCTCAGCACCCCGCTCTCCCTGGGGTGCGGGGGCGGCCGGGCGGGAGCTGTGCTTTCTGGCCCCAAGGCCGGACTATGGTGTCTGCTCCCGGGCCCGGGTGGCGGCCGCACCTCCAGACCCGGCCACCCCTCCCCAGGCTGGGCTGATGCTGCTGTGAGTCCCTCTCACCTGAGGCTGTTTGGCGGTTCAGATGGCACAGGGTAGGTTTGGGTCTGATTCCTCAGCCAAGCTACCTGAAAGGAGGGTCCTTCTGAGCGGGTCACTTCACGACCTTACATACTAATGCCCGCTGTGGTCCTAGAGTCTTGACGGAGTTGTCGTAACGCTTTGAGAGTTTTGGGGGGAGGTGGAAGCATCTGACCTTATCTTTGAGTGTGGCAGGCTGGCTAGTTGCGGGGGTAGTTGGGGGTGGAATCCATTCCTGAGAGCAGATTCCTGCCAGATCTTGGATTAATTCTTTCAAGAAGCTTTTGTTTTAAGGCAGGGTTTGGGCAGCATGTGTGTGTGAATGTCGCCCATCCCCCTCCTTCCTCCTTTTGCTGGTCGGATCTAATTTCCTGAAACTGAACCAAGCTGAGTGTGATAGGCGGGTATTGTGGGAGAGGGGCGGTGGGTGGGGGCTGAGGGAGGCCGGGTGCATCCCAGCATCTGGGAAACATTCCCGTTGGCTGGGAAAGAGAAGCAGTTCCCAGACCCGCTGGTCTGTCTTGGCCAGCTCTTCTCTGACGTCATGCCTGCTCCCAGCCTGCCAGCTGAGATGAGACATTCTGATGTCAAGGCTTTCATAGGTTGGCTGAGACAATGGGACAGAGACTTAGGGAGAAGAGAGGGGGCTGCCAGTAACCCTGCTTCTCTTCTGGGCAGCCCCAGTCTTTTCACTTCTTAAAGTGAGTGACAGATCGTCTCCTTTGACTCCACTGAGGAAGCAACCCCTCCCCCACCCCTTTGGAAGATATCTGGAGCGCCTTTTCTGGGGCTTAAAGGTTTTAAGAGTAAGAATGTATTGCACCACTGTTGGGTTTTGGCCAATACACTATTTTTTCATTTCTCTTTAATAGTAATACAATCAAGTGGACCATCTTTTCTTGATTATGAAGCTCTTCCCACCTGCCTTTTTATGGCATAAAGTCCCAAGCTCACTGACTCAACCCTGGAGCCCCAAGGAGAGCTTCTATCAGATTCAGAGTACCTGCAGAGTACACACACGTACCCTCTGCAATAGCTCTGCCATGGCTCTGCAGGTTCCCAGAACAGGAAACCGAACGAGGTTCCTTGGGATGCTAAAGATACCAGGATCCAGCTCGTCAAAGGTGCATGGAAGAGCCAAGGCAGATAGGGGATTAGAGTCTCCTGTACAATCAAACATTGGTGAGGCAGGAGGTGGAGAGTCTGCTGGGGCAGAAGGCTTCCTTGGCGACAAGGACACAGTTTTCTGGAAGGGAAGTCCAGAGGGCTTTTCCAGTGTAGACTGAATGTCGTTCTTTAGCCAGTCCACCGTAATGTCTTCATGGAAAAGGGATCTCCTTTGGCCACAGAGGGCAGATATTTGAGCGGGGAGGGAAGGTGAAAACTTTCTTCTAACCTCTGCTGGAGCCTAGGCGCAAAGGGCTTCCTGTTGGGCAAAGTTTAGTCGCTGATTATTTTGTTAATTTTGATCTAATCAAAAAGTCTTTCAGGACAAGAACTTCTTTTACTCTGTTTCCCAACAGTGCATAAATGGGAAACAGTGCACAAACAGCTTTAGGGTCAATGCCTAAAGCTGGCCCTCAACCATACTTATTGGTTGGCTGGTGATCCATTAACTGAGGACAGTTTCTAGGCAATTTTCCCAAACATCAGTCTCCTTCCTTTGAAGTGGGAGCTTTTGCCAAGGGGACCAGGTTGTTTTGAGAGAATGGAGTGTTATTTACCTATTAATTCGTTATTGAGAACAAGCCAAACACTAATGTAGGCTAGGCACTGGAGAATATACAAAAGTCCAAGCTGCTGTGCTCAGACCTAGGAGTGTTCAGGCTTGTCAGGAGGACAGCTCACGCTCAGTGGCTTCATCTTTGTTCTCAGGACTATGGCCACACCTCTACTATGCTGCCCCCTTCTCTATGGTGAAAACCTTTGTTTCTGTCTTTTTCCCTACATGATAAGATCATCCAGTCATTCATCTATGCTTTTTTATCTTTAATGTCTATGGTAGTGTCTGTCATATAATCAATGCTTAATGCATGTTTGAGTTAAATTAAGTTGATGCTAGGAACAACTGGGCAATGTAAGACGATTACTGAGTAAGCAAGAGCCAGAGCAATTGATATGCGCTGTGAGCATTGTAGAATTCAGGGGGCGGTCACTGGAATATCACAAAGACCAGGCTTGGCAGACTTTAGAAAGTGAGAGGGAGTTTCAGGCAGGAAAAGCCGTATGAACAGTTACGGAGACAGGGGAGGACAAGGTTGAGCAAGAAATGGTGAGGGGACTGCCCACGTGGAGTGGCATTGGGGGACACTGAAAATAGAAAGTTACGAGGAAACAGGGTGCATGTTTAGGAGAACTTGAAGCCAGTCATGAGTTTGGAAAAAACACAATAAGCTGAGTGGAAGGATGTGTCAGGCATATGGGATAAATTAGAGAAGATGGAACCAGAAACATGGATGACATCAATTAGGAGACAGTAGCAGGTGATGAGAGCGTTTGGAAAAGGGACATGGCAATAGAATTGGGCACGGTCTGAAAGAGGTTTGAATGGAGGCTCATTATATGCTCACCACTTAGAGCTAAGGGCTGAGGAAGGATGAGATGTGTGACATGGAAGTTGACTTCCAGTCTTTCAAGCCAGCCTTCTGCTGAGTTGTAGTAGCTTTGGTAATTAGAACATAAAATTCCACAGCATATTAATGGGTCCCAGCTCCTAACCGAGATGTCAGGAAAGTGCCTAGAACCCGAGGCCCGAGTACAGAGAGGCCTTTGGAGACAGGCCTTCTTAGCCGTGTGACTGTGGATGGGTTATTTAATGATTAAGTCTTTTTCCCATTGGTGCTACAGGAACATTTTACTGGAGCATTACAAAGATTCCATTAGTAGCATGAGAATGTGCTTGGGATATAGCAGGTGTACAGTAAATTCCAGTTTTCCCATTAATCTTTCCCTCTTCCCTCAGCCAGCCTCAGCCATTGGCTGTCTGTCAGCTGTTCTCTTTCCAGCTGCAACTTGGCTACCACTGTTCTAGGTATCTTGGAGAGACCTGACAAAAAAATCTTTCATTTTCCAGCAGAAGTTCTCATTGTTTTGTTGCCCAGAACCTGGTCACATACCCACCTCTATACCAAATACTGGCAAGGGAAAGGTGATTGTCACAACTGGTAGACCCACCAGGATTTATCCCTTAGTCATGTGAGACAAGATGCATCTAGCGGCTAGCCAGTGCTTCTCAAACTGAACGTGCATAGCAATCACCTGAGGCTCTTGTTAAAATGCAGATTCTGAATCATTTCATCTGGGCTGGGCCTGAGATTCTGCATCTCTGATGAGCTCCCAGTGGGTGCTACTGCCACAGTAGGACTGCACATTGGGTCTTTGAGTAGAAAGAAGGAAGGTGACCAGGAAGGTAAGCTAGGACTCCTCCCCAGCCCCCATCGCCACTTTCTGGAACACTGGCCTGGCGCTGGAGTGAACAATTTCTATTCTAGTCCTGGCATGGTTTGTCTTCTGGAGCAGGTGGCTAAATAATGACAAATGACCTTTGCAATTGCACTTTGCAGTTTACAAAGCATATTTCTCATACCATCATTTTCAGTTCTCTCTATATTTTGCTTCTTTTCATATGACAAAGTGAAGCTTAGAGAGGTAAATTCCTAAAGGTCATGTAGCTAGCTAGGGAGAGGTAGAGTTAGAACCCAATATACGCTTTCTCACCTAAGGCTCTCCATTCTGCTGCTGCACTATATGGGTATCTACCTGACGGAATTGAATTTTCCATTTTCTGCCCATAATCTTTGATCTCTTAGGTGGGGACACTGCATTAAGTACTTCGTATAGTATTCTGTTTCGTATATTGGTTAAATAATTTGCCCAAATCATGTAGCTAGTAAGTGTTAGAGCTGACATTTAAACTTAAGACAGAAAATCAAGGATTTGGGAGCATAGGGCCTGCCATTTCTCTTTCCATCTTTGTTGCTGCAGAGTACCATCATCCCCAGTGGTAAATTCCCGACTCTAACATTATTTTTCCTCTTCCTCTGCAGGGTGCTTCTGTGGCCTGGGACTGGTTAGCACCAACAAGTCCTGCTCAATGCCACCCATCAGTTTCCAAGACCTTCCCCTCAACATCTACATGGTCATCTTTGGCACAGGCATCTTTGTCTTCATGCTCAGCCTCATCTTCTGCTGCTATTTTATCAGGTGGGTGGATCCCTGGCTGACCTGGGGTGGGAGTCAAGGAAGGAGGAGGCCTGGGGTAGGTAAGCTGAGTGAGGGTCCCACAGCAGAGTCACTAGCCTCATGCTAGGGCTGCTGCCTTGAGGACATGGCTTAGCCTGCCCTTCTCTGGGCCCCTGAGGCCTGGTGTTTCTATTTACATCAGCCTATCAAGTTGTCCCAGAGCATATAAGGTCACCATGGGTTAGGCTGCATCTTGCCTCTTGGCCAGTTATTGTAAGGTTGCCTAAAATTACTGTCTGACTGAGCCATATAGTTGGTGGCCCCCTAACTGTCTTTCTCTGCTTCCCACTCAAGCCCTCTGGGTGGCCAGGAACAGGTGGGCATCAGTTACATCAGCGGCATGTTACTTTGCCCTCCTGGGAAATCCTCTTGTCAACTCTCCAGATACTAATATTAGCAAGCCAGTGTCTGGAGAGCTACTTGTTTATTCTGCCTTGTAAGCTCTTATTTTTGAGAATTTAAAAAAAAAACAAAAGTAGAAACATCACTTGTTCTTAATTGCTTAGGGATCCAGGAAGGGACTTGAGCTTGGGAGGGCTAACCAAACTCCAGGAGCTGTTTCTCTACCTCCTGTTGGAGGATATGGGAACTGGTGGCTGTTGTCTACAAAAAATTTTGGGCATGACTGGTATTTAGAGTGGAAATCAAAGTAGTAGTGTTTAAGTGCTATTGGTATTAACAGTCTTCATTGTATGGGACTGTCCTGTACATGGGAGCGTGCTAAACACCCCTGGCCAGTAGTCCTAGAGCCAGTGTAGCAACCATCCCCCCAGCCCCAAACACACACACACACACACACACACACACACACACACACACACACATACATATTACCAGATGCCTAGGTAGACATCAGCTGGAGTCTAGGATAGTGTCTGATCAGATCATTTAAAATTAAATTAAGATTAAGGAAAAGGGCTGACCAGTAAGCTCAGTTGGTTAGAGCATGGTGCTCAGAACACCAAGGTCCAGAGTTAGATCCGGGTACCAACCAGCTGCCAAAAAATAAATAAATAAAATAAAAAGATTAAGAAAAAGGAGTCCTGGCTCTGTACCGAGATGCCCTGCTAGGTTTGAGTGCCCCAGCTGGAAGGCAGCCGGAGGGGAGGCAGGCACTTGTCCTATCTCTAAGGCTGGAACAGCTCCCTCTAAGAAGGGAAATGCCCACTGCTCCCAGCTGCCTACCTTGGGCCTCTTCTTCCTCAGAACTCTTCAGACCGGCATGTAGGACTGGAATATTTCACTTAAAAGTCTATACAGAGAACATAGTGGTTTATTTTCCCTCTTGTACAATTGAGCCTGAAATTTGCATCTGTTCGGTAGGGGTGAGGGTACAGTTCTGGTATCTCTCCTTCCTGCCTCATCCCCTCCCCTTTCCTGAAGCCTAAGTTTTCTTAAATTCTTACTGACCACCAACTCTCCCCCACCATCCGCCCCCATATCAAGCAATTCACACAATTCCCTGGAGACTGAAGATGGAGACATGCCAAATACCAAAGATTTATTTATGATGAGGCTGGGAGGAATCTGTAAAACCAACCCATGTGGTCCCTTCACACACACACACAGGCACTCACATGCCAAGCGGCAAAGGTGTTCAAAAGAAGAAAATATAGAGAAAATTGCTCTAGGACAGGAAGTGGGTGCCCAAAGTTAATTTCCTAACTCTGCCACTAATAGGTGAGACCTTAGCTTTTTAGCTACATTTTATGAAGAGCTTTCTGTGTGCCAGGCATTATGGTCAGCATTTTGCTCACTTAATATTCAAAATGACCCTCCTGTTTAGGTATTAGCCCACTTTACAAATGAGGAAATTTATGCTCAGACAGTTAAGGATTTGCCAAGGTCATACCCTGAGGAAGATCAAGAAATGGTCTTGGCTGGTAATGATTAGCTAGTCTTTCAGATTCCTTCCAGATGTCTGCCTTCTAGTAGTCTTATTCCATGGAGAAATCAGGGAGCTGCTGTGGCCTTCATGCCCCCCCCCCACCCCGAAAGCTAGAGATTGGGGTCCTGCAGAAGGACCGGCTGGGGAGCCATGTGCTGCTGATTTCTTCTCTTTGGCTGGAGTGAACAAAGAGCACTAACCACACGGTACTAGAGCTGCCCCCACTGCAGCACTGCCTGCCACCGCCTGTCCCTCCTGCAGTATTCTGCTCCTTCAGTACCCCACCCTCTGCTCTACAGCCTGCACAAAGCCAGTTCATGAAGCCTCTGGAGCTTCGTGGTTCCAGACGCTCACTGCTATGTGGCAGTCTGTGTGTGTCTATATATAGAAAGACACAGTACAGAAGCCACTTCCTCTCCCTGCTTCTCGGTTTCCTCCTCAGCCAAAATAGGCCCGTGACCACTGCCCCCGACTCAGTGAGCTCATGGGCCAAGGCCAGCCTCCACTCCCCAGCACCCCCTCACTCTTCTCGCCTTCTCTCGGAGCTGGCCTCTGCCCTGCACAGGATGGAGGGGCCAGTAAAGCACAAACAGCAGGAAAGGAACAATTATTTTCAGGACCTGGCTGCATTGTTTGTTCTAAGAGGGAAAAGAGGAAAGGGAGAGCCTGCTGGCATGGCTAGCAATGGTCTCATTGAAATCAGGATATTTTTAGTCGCTTTGCTCACCCAGCAGCTGAGAAGGCCACCTGTCCAAGGTTGTTGGCATGATATCCCCAGCTGGGATGGCCCAGGGTCTTTGTTTTTTGTTCTATTTTCCTTGCAGCCTTTTTAGCCCCATTTTATCTAGGTCTAATCCTTCCTGAGCTGAAATATATATGCAGGACAAAGGTACAGCTCCCAGCCCTTCCCCATTCTGAGAGTTCTGGAGGATCCCTGGGTGAGACCATTAAAAGGAGCCAGCCAGACAAGAGGATAGTGTGGGTGAGGAGGGCACCCTCAGCACCTAGGGTCCAGTGAGTGGAAAGGCACAGCACACATGACAGGAGTATGGCCATGTTGCGGGTGAGGCAGCTGAGCCACAAAGGACACATGGCATTCCCTCATTCCCCCAGACAGTTAAAAACACAGGCTCTTCAGGGCCGGCCCGTGGCTCACTCAGGAGAGTGCAGTGCCGATAACACCAAGGCCACGGGTTCGGATTCTATGTAGGGATGGCCGGTTAGCTCACTGGGTGAGCGTGGTGCTGACAACACCAAGCCAGGGGTTAAGATCCCTTTACAGGTCATCTTTAAAAAAAAAAAAAAAAAAAAAAAAACAAAAACAGGCTCTTCATCACTTCCTTATTTGCTCTGCACATACCGCGTACCAGAGCAACAGTGTCTTTCACGCTCAGAAGGCAGCTGTGAGCTCCATGACAATGGGAACCCTTCCCTCCTTTCCCAGCTTAGTTGGTCAGCCAACAGTAGCTCACTCAGTCTTTGCATTCCGTGCCCCTCTCCTTTGGAAGCTGGGACAGAGATGCATGCATATGTATGAAAGCCTTTTCTGGACCAAGGAGTTCTTGCAAAGTTAAGGATGGGACGGTGGGATCCCTGGTTGGATCTTTAGCCCAACTTGCAATGAGCAGAAAGTGTATAGTGGAGGGAAGGGAAAGGGGACAGTGAGGGTGCCACCCCAGCCCCCCAAGCCCCTGGCAGGAATCCACTTGGACTGGAGTTTTCAAGAGGCTCCAGGAACGTCCGCCCTCGCCAGATCATCTGACTTCCCATCAGGAGGAGGCCTGCAGCCTGAACGTATGTGCCCACACTGTTCTCAGGCACAGCTCTGCCTCTGCTATGCCCTGGTGCATCTTCTCAGCCCCTTTGAGTGGGGCTGTCCGTGATTTGAGGTTCTCTCTTTCAAATTCAGGTCACCAATCCTCTTTCAGTAAAGGCTCATCTAGTAAATACCTCGGTCTTTGCGGCTCATTAGGTCTCTATCACAACTGCTCTTCTGTTTGCATGCAAAGGCAGCCATAGACAATCTGTAAACGTTCAGTATGGCTATGGATGAACAGTATTTAATGGACACAGAAGTTTGAATTTGATACAGTTTTCCTGTGTGTTGAGGTATTATTATTTATTTCTGTTCCCAGTCATTTAAGAATAAAAACCATTCTTAGCCTGTGGCCCTATAAAAACAAGTAGGGAAGTGCATTTGGCCCTCAGACCACAGTTTGCCACCCCTGCTCTAACTTGGTGGGTTTCTGACACTTCCTTCCAATAACCCAGGCCTATGTTAAAAATGACTAGTAAGAAAAAGCCTCGTCAGGTTCCCTCCTGAAGGCCACATGTAGGAGACCATCTAAAGCTACCTGCAGAATTAGGAGTAAAAGTATCCCTCTAGTGAAAGTAAAATGGCACAAAATCTGTGCACAGTTATGGTCATAGCCATTTGCATAGAAAGTCATTCCGAATGGCAGATGTAGTGTAATATAAGGTATGTCTCAAGACCAGATCATGTTTTCAGGACGATGATGTATTCCATCTAACTGGTGGAACAGGCCATATTACGTGGTACAGAGCTCAGGCTCTGTAGTCACACAGACTGATTCAAATCCAGCTTCTGCCAACCAGCTCTGTGAAGTTTGGGCAAATCACTTAACTACTTTGGGCTTTATTTTCTTCATCTATAAAAGAGAAAACATCTTCTTCTTAAAGTTGTTTGGAATGGATATGAATACATAATATCCAGCGACACATAATAAGTACTTGATAACTATTTTGCTTTTGCTATTAATAATAACAAGCTATGTTTTGGTTCTTGAGAGTTAGGCTGTATGCAGGACACCAGCTTAAAAGAAAACAAAGAAAGCATCGTCTGTGTTTTTTGTCTGGCACTGTGAAGGGAAGAGTGTGCTTTGGTTCCAGAATACTTGTGTCCTCTGGTTGGAAGATTCCCCGAGGTCAACAGAGACTTACTTATCCGGCTATCCTGGCTTAATGAAGTATCTCTTTTAAGAATATCTATCTAGGGCCAGCCCATGGCTCACTCGGGAGAGTGTGGTGCTGATAACACCAAGGCCACGGGTTCGGATCCCATATAGGGATGGCTGGTTGCTCACTGGGTGCACGTGGTGCTGACAAGTCAAGGGTTAAGATCCCCTTGTCGGTCATCTTTAAAACAAAAACAACAACAACAACAAAAAATATCTAATTCCTTCTGTACACTCAGTAAGCACATTGTTGATCTATGTTGTTTGGATGCCTGGAGGAATTTACCTATTGGGAAAGGGCAGGGAGAATGAATGAAGGAACTATTTGGGTGTGCTCTGCCAGATAATTTCCTAATCTGTGTATGAGACCTGGCAGTAAATTTTGTAGCTATGAAGCCTGTGTAAGAGTCTTAGTCCTTCATCAGCTCTGGGTGGCCTGCATAGGTCCAAATCATGCCCTGTGGTGTCTATGGGACAAACACCCCACCCCCAGGAGAATACCCAAGTGACCAGCCAGCCTCTCCCGCTTTGGATTGCTCTGTTTATGCAAAGGCACATAACCTGCCCTCTCTCCTATTTCTTTCCCTGGCAGCAAACTCCGGAACCAGGCACAGAGTGAACGATATGGATATAAGGAGGTAGAGTGCCACATCCTTCCCTGAGGCTTCCCCGGCTACTGCTTGCCTTGATAGGGGGAGGGGGGGAGAGCAAGTGCAAGCTCCTTGGCCTGCAGTCCCCCTTGGCCTCACCTCTGGGCCTCCCTAAGGCTAACTCCTTTCTGCCCTCCAGTCTGACTTGCCCGAGGCAGTGCAGAGCCCTCCCCCAGCATGGGAGAGAGGGAGGCTTCCCTGTGAAAGGCTGGAGACTCCCTCCATTGGCTGATACTACCTAGACCTTGTGATTGCTTTCTTTGGACATCATGCCTCCTCTTTTCTTCCCAGGTGGTGCTTAAAGGTGATGCCAAGAAGTTACAATTATATGGGGTAAGTCTACTGGGACAGCATGCAGGAGGTAAGGCAAACAGCTTCTTTCTCTAGCTCTCAGCCTGAACCCTTCCAGGAATCTGTTTCGTCCCTGCCTTCATATCTACTTCGGCCAAGTAAAAGGGACTCATTCCAGCAGGAAATCAATACATTGAATTCATTATGTCTAGAACCGGCTCAGGCAGGAAACATAAAGGGATCACTAAAGGGTTTGGATAAGTAGTGATGCATGGCCCCAGGAGTCCTGCTCTGCATAATCTTAAAGAGGAGGACGGTCACACTACTCCATGCCATAGACAGATTTCAGCTCGCTTTCCCCACATTTAGCCTGGGTCCTGGTTTTTCACTAAAGAATATAAAACCCTTTTGCCCTTGTGTATCCCCTGCCCTGACTGTGGCTCTGACTGCGGCTCCATTCCTGTGTCTCTTCCCTGTTTCCCCTCCGTTCCCCCCTCCCCCTCCAAACACTAATTCCTTGGGCCCTCGACTCTCTTAGGAATTGGTTATTCCCTATTCCTTTCCTACCTATGCCTTTGAGGTCACCTAACTCATTTCCCAAGGCTTCTGTCTGTAATCACAGACAGGCCTAATCAGAGCGTGTTTGCGGTAGTCTCAGAGCGGGAGAATCACAGTATCACTAAACATGAGACTGCCTAGACACAGCCTCATTTCGTCCCCTATTCCATCGCTGCAAGTTCCCGTGTTTCCTAAGCCTTCCTCTAGAAGAGTAATTTGTTCAGGTCAAGGGGGACATAAGTCTGGATCTAAAGAATGTAACTGAACACATGCACCATACCCCGTCCTTACTTCTACTTATTATTGATAAATTCCCCTTCATTGAATGTGTTAGGCTAGCAAGGATTTGAAACCATTCTTCTAGAATAGCACTGTCCAATGGAAATTTCTGTGATAGAAATAGTCTCTGTCTGCACTGTCAAATATGGGAACCCTTAGCCACACGTGGCTATTGAGCACTTCAAATGTGGCTAGTGAGGAACTAAATTTTAGTTACATCTTATTTGGGTTAATTTAAATGTAAACAGCCACATGTTGTTAATGGCTACCATGCTGTCAACACAGTTGTCTAAAACTATAGCTAAAGTCTCCCTGGCTGCCAGAGGAGACCGGGCTGGAGCTGAGTTTTGCTGGCTGGTGTGAGGTAATGGATGTGTGGTGGAGGGTCTGAAGCCCCTCGCCGATCTCCTCTCACATGCCTCGCTCTCCCACAGCAGACATGTGCGGTGTGTCTGGAAGACTTCAAGGGGAAGGACGAGCTAGGCGTGCTCCCTTGCCAGCATGCCTTTCACCGCAAGTAAGTGGGGGTGTGTTCATTATTTCTCCCTTTGAGAGAGAAATAATCAGGAAGCATCTTCTAGACCCTCCCAATCCCTGCCAGCTCCCATCTGCCCCTTGCCAGTGATGCCCGAGGTCCTGTCTGGACAGCACGTAAGACAGAGGGGTTGGGTTGGGGCAGGGATACGGATGTCCTTGTTCTGAGATGCAGCTGGGTTCTGTGAGAGAAGCTGGAGCAGGCTGGGGTGTCTTCTCTCGTTCACAGGTGTCTGGTGAAGTGGCTGGAAGTCCGCCGTGTGTGCCCGATGTGTAACGAGCCCATTGCCGGTCCCTCGGAGGCCACCCAGAGCATCGGGATCCTGTTGGAGGAGCTGGTGTGAGCACTGCCTCTCTGCTGAGACTTCACTCCTCGTGGGCGCCTGGTCCCTTTGCACAGCTGCAATGAACAAGACTGCTAGGTGGTGACAGGTCCCATTCACCTGAAAGGGAGCATGGCACAGGGCTGGTCTTCCACTGTCAGGGTGAGACCAGTGCCAGGCCTGCCCACCCTTCTGCCTCCTGGAGCCTTCTTCCCTGCTACTCTGCTCTGGCGGCGTCCCCCGTCAAGGCCACTGTGTCCTGGTACTGGACTATCTGCCCGCCTTGTCCCTGCTCTGTGGGGAGGGAATCCACCTTTATCTGGCCAAGAACATGGGGAAACCCCTTCCAAGTTCCCTTTAGGAGAATGAGCTGCCTTGACCTAGCAGGGATAAGGTGGGCTCTGCCCACCTGCAGGCTTCCCTCCCCTCTCTATTCCTTCTGGAGGAAGGTTAGAAGGAAGGGAACAAAAGATGAAGGAACTAAGAACCTCCAGTGGAGGGGGGCGGGCTCTGTATGAAACAGGGAAGGGCGGGGACATATAAAAGGAAAAAGTCAGTGTTTACATGGGGCCTGCTGGCTGACCACAGGGCAGTGCAGGGGCAGATCCCTTCCCCTGCCAGGATCTGAGGTGCTGTCCACGCTTTCCCTCTTCCTCCGTTAATCTCAGAGCTTCCTATTCCATGTTGGGGTCTGGGTGCCCCTCTAGAGGAAGGGCTTGTTCTACACTCACATTGACTCCCAGGGGCTTTTTCTAAAGGATCAAAAGGGGCCTGGGGATGGGGGTGTCTGAAGGTTAAGGTAGCAGCAGATGCCTTCTTTCCCTTTGTAAATAGTATTTTTGTACTTCATCCTCACCTTCTCAGGCTTTATACAGGGATTCCCCAGAATGAAGGGGGTGGGGGCCTTCTGTTCCTCCCTGGGAATGGGTGAGGGTGGGAAAAAGTTATGTATTTAAAGACAATTAAATTTAATAAGTTTCTCTAACCTCCTTTTGCCTGTCTTGTGGGCTGTATGGGGCCCTTTTCTGCCATTGGGGGGTGTGGGGGGAGCAAAGCTCTCCCACTTCCCCTCCTCACTTCCCCATGCCCAAGTCAAACACACAAAGCTTCCTAATAAAACAAAAATTGATACTAGATGATTACCTGTACAACCTAGGTTAGGACTAACAGCAATATACATTAAAACCTGACTAAGCCAGCCTCTTTCATCTGATTTCTAGAAGAATTTTGCAGAATTCTGATGTTTGCAACCACAACAATCTATCAACAAAGACTTGAAACTAATAGAATTCTACTTGTAATTCAAGCAATTGTCAGTGCCCTTAACACACTGAACAGGTGCACGTTGCTACCGTGGAGGCTTGATCTCTTTTCCATTACTCTACTTTGTTCCTGTCCACTAGCTGACAGGTACTGGCACATCCTCGCCTCCTGTAGCATATCTAGAAGTATTGCACGGTAACACTTTATGGCCCTATGCGCATGTGTGGCCTCTGGCTTTGCTCTGTCAGTGTCCCTTGAACCAATAGTGGATATGCAAAATGCACTGTTGGGAACAGTTTTCTTGGCCATGATAGGCATAGAGCAGCTGGACCATGGTTTCCCCCTGCTTGGTGGAACAGGGCAGTGCCAGTGGCCCGTGGGTGCTGGGCACAGGAGGAGCATTTGCTGAGCAAAGTGTAGTGTGCTTGTGAGTCTCAGATGTGCAGGAGATGCCCAAGCCCCCGAGGTGCCAAGCTTCCAGTGTAGGTGCCCTCCCACCGCTGCGATTGTGCCATGGGGACTGCTGGCACAGTTTGTGCTCATGTTGGACATCCCCGAGGTACAGCTGGGGCAGTTGGCAGTTCTAGTACAGTCAGCGGCATTGCTGGGGCCCTTTGCTAGTGGTGCTCCTGTTCTCGCTACCTCTTTTCCCTCTTGCTCTAAGAGGAACCCCTGTTCCTCCTTAAAGCACCATCACTGCTTGCTGCTGCCAACCCTCCAGGGCCTGATCTTTCTTCGCTGAGGCACCGCTTCTTCCTGTAGCATCACCAGCTTGCTTTAATGTGGGGAATAAAATGTGTTTCCTAAGCAGAACGAAGAGCCTGCCCGCTAGCTCCTGCTGCAGCCTCACGGTGGAGGCATTGCTGAGGTCAGGTGGGGAAACAGGTGACCGGTAGGTTGGCTTCAAGTCGCCTGCCTCATTGACTTCCCCTTCTTGTAAGGAAGATTCATCAGTATTGAATTCATCAGTATTAGCATAATTCTGACTCCAATGTTTGCACTAAAATGCCCATGTTCACAAATTTGAAAATCAATGTCCTGAAGTCAATGTGACAGAAAAAATGCCTTGTGTTATTTCTGTGCTTCAGTAGGTAGGATGGTACTACAGAGCTCAGAGAATGGAAAACTGGACATTGTTTAGCTCATCAGATGTGGATAGGCAGCAGCCGAGCCCATGTCCCAACTTCATAGTTAGTGTGGTCTTGTTACTCGGTTCAGTTCCTTTAGAGCACCTGCTACATGTGCCAGGTACTGTGCCCGGTGCTGAGAGAGGACAGTCCTTGCTTTGAAAGAGTGCTGTGAGCACTGAATTTTGGGTGAGCAAGGTTGTATGGCAAAGAGACCCTTAGCTCATCTGCTATGGAAGCAACTGCAAAGGTGCCTGCCTGAGTCTCGAGGGAGTAGCACGGCCAAAGTCACACAAGGATTTACTAGCCTGTTGGATGGCAGATTGCAAACTGGCTAGTGTGAAGTGCAAGCAGGGAAAGACTGGGGGCGAGATAAATCCTGTGTAGGGTCAGGAACTTGGAATTTGATATAGTGAGAATCTTGAAATTTCTTTAGATTGGCCTTTTGAGAAATCTGGACACCATTTGGGAGGTAAGCCAGTTATTTTCTCTGTGCATGAAATATTCGTGGGCAACTACAGTTTTGAGTAGAAAGGAAAAACAAACTCACGGCACAATCATCAACACAGAAGTTTTCTGTGACCAAATCTGTGGAGGATTTTTCCCACACACCAAGCAATCCTGCAGAGGATACCAGCTGGCTGTCCTCCAATTCAATGCCGATACTAGTACCTGGAGATTGTGTAGAGCCCACAGGTTGAGGGCTCAGTCCCCAACACCGCTCCACATTTCAGGTGCCAACTACAAGCCTAGGTTTCTGAAACTTCGGCCTAACCAGCCATAAATCGGGGTTTCTGAAACCTCCTCCTCCCTCTTTAGACTGGAATAACTGGCTTGAGCAGCTCCCAGAACTCAGGGAAGCACATTTGTTGGTTTATTATAAAGGATATTACATAGGGTACAGATGGAGAGACGCATAGGGTGAGGTATGGGAGCAGGGGGCAGGGCTTCCATGCCCTCCCCAGGCGTCCACCCTCCAGGAACCTCTGCTTCTGTCCAGAAGGTCTCCAAATTCTGTGCTCTTAGGTTTTTATGGGAGCTTCATCACATAGGCATGACTGAAGCATGGGCAACTGTGTAAAAATGTGATTGGACAAAAAGGGTCTGATCTAACGCTAGTACACTGAGTGGGAACACCCAGCAAGGCCTGTCTGCTCAGATTCTTCTCAGCCTCTCCGTGCAGCGTTCCTTCCCCCGGAGTGTGTGGCAGAACTCCTCCTGAAATGGGGGTCTTATGACCTATAATCAGATAAGGTAGGTCAGAGAATTTCCATATGATCAGCTCCAAGGCAGAAAGGTGGAGGAATATTAGAACAAGCCAGGAACTGTGCATGTAAATCAAAATGTACATATCATATCACAGGCCACCCCTGGTTTTCAAACACGGATCACTTGTGGCAAAAGGATAGACAACTCAAAAGATACTGGCGCATTATACTAGAGTCTCATTCAGTCAATAATAATTAGCTCAGTCCCTCATCATATTGTGTAAATACATCTCCCAGGGCAAGGAAGCTCAGATTTGCAGGCTTTCGTTCAATCTTGGTGGGGTTCAAAAGCAAAGTGGTCTCAGCAGATATACGAAGGTATTTTAATGTGAATCTTCCCATGAACTTTTTGAAGACCCCTCGTTTAACTTCTCCCTTTCAGGCATCTGGTATAACCGAGCTAAGAGACAATGTCATCTCTTGCTCTGAGCCTCTTTTGAGGTGTTCATGTATTAGTCCGTTTTTGTTGCTTATAACAAAGTACACTGAACTGGGTCATTTATAAAGAGAAATGAAATTTATTGTTTGCTGTTTCTGAGTCTGAGAAGTTCAAAGTCCATCTGGTGGTGGTGACAGTGATCCAGGGGTCTCACATTGCAAGATGGTGGAAG